GTTCAACAAAAGGGATTATAGAGTAGAACAATATGCAATTCAATTTCATCCTTCCATCCCTTCGGTTATCTGTCAATAAATATTTGCTAATGGCCTATCCCATGCCATCACCCAAGGCCAAGTAGGGGGCTGGGGATTGGAATGAAAAGGCGTTTTGAGAATGTCTCATTCCGTGGGAACTGAAGTCCTACTTCATGCCACCCTCGTGCACGTTCGGGCCTTTTGTTCCTGCAGCTAGAGTATCTGATTAAACTCCCTCCATCGGACATGTAAGCAAGGGTAGGCATGAAGGTGACCCAGCACGATATGAAATCATGAACTTACTTAAAGTAGTTTGAGGGCTTTGTTTTTTGTTTTGGCGTGTGTGTGTGTGTGTGTGTGTGTGTGTGTGTGTGTGTGTGTGTGCATGCACACGTGCATGACAACTAGATCATGCAGGTTCTCAAGCACGGACTTTGTAGGTGAAAATGTATCACGATGTCAAACAGTTGGGCACCCCAACCTCACATGGAGGCGCCCCCAGAATGCTTACTAGACTGTTTCTAATACAGATGCCAGCTTCATCTCCTCTGGGGGAGGAGCAGAAGTTAGGAACCACATGACTCTCCACGGCCCCACCCAGCTCTTCACTTCTGCTGGCTAACTGGCCAGGACTGTCTCCACCCTGTCTTCAGGTCTTCCCACCTCTTCTCATTGTCTCACCTCACAGGACCCTAGTTGTGGCGCCCCCACTCCCTGATTGGTGTCCTCAGAGGACGTCTAAGCACCAAACTCGGTGCAGAGCCTCCTGGTGACATGAGGAGGGGCACCAGAACTTTTGGTGACTCAAACTTACTTCTTTTGCTTCCTTGGGAGCTTCCTGGAACTCCTTCTCCTTTTCAGTTTCCCCTTTTGGCTTCTTCCTCATTGTTTCTTAACTGAAGCTGTGCCTGAGGTTCGGTCTTCAGCTCCATTGATGACCTAACCCACCCTCATTCCCCATTACCCTGTATAACTGTCAGGTTACTAATGAAGCCTGTATCTAAGGACAAGCATAGTCAGCAGCCTACGGGGCATCTTTCAAACGGGGATTCCTGCTCATTTTCTCTCTAATGTGATCTTTTCCAAAGCACCTTCCAAACCCCCCAGAGCAAGAGCAAGGGAAAAACAATATTCAAAGCAAATGCAAGACAGGGATGGGAATCACTGACCTTTTTTTCTTCATAAGCGTCTAAGTTATTCAAAATAGATATGTGAGGGGTCGGAGAGATGGCTCAGAGTTCTGAGAACTCATTGCTGACAACTCCAGCTTCAAGGGATCCAGTGCCCTCTTCTGGCCTCTGTGTGTCTAGGGACACACACCTTTAATCCCTGCCCTTGAGTTCAAGGGCATCCTGGTCTACAGAGAGAGGTCTAGTCTAGCTAAGACTATGTAATGAGACACTGTCTCAAAACAGATAATAAGAAAAGGGATACAATAAAGTATTTTTTAAAACAGACACATGGACTTCTAGAGACTGAACTAAGGAAGAAGCAGAGGGTGAATGGAATCAGAGGCAGAATGGGTGGTGCAGCTATGAAAGAATCAGCGCCCGTGTGTCCTCTTGGTTCACACATTTGTTTCTGTTAACAGAGAGATTTTTACACTGATACACTACTGCAGTGTATTAGAACAAGTAGCTGGGCTTTATCTCACTGTCCAGAAGTTGATGTGTTCTGGCCTTGGTGATTTTACATGCCATAACAGTCCTTATACAAGATGTTACTTTTTAATTTTATTTTGTATGTATGGGTGCTTTGTCTGCACGTATGTCTATGCATTGCTTGTATGCAGTGCTCACAGAGGCCAGAAGAGGGCGTCAGGTTACCTGGACCTGGAATCATAGGCAGTTGTCAACTGCCATATGGGTGCTGAGAATCCAACTCAGGTCCTCTGGGGAAGCAGACAGTACTCCTAACTCTTCAGTCCCTGGAAGACTCGTTTTGAAAAGAGGAAATATGGACTTGTTATATATTGAGAGGCATAATAAAGGCAACATTATTAGTTTATTTCTTACATATTTTGCCTACAATGAAAAGACATGGTGTCTAGCCTCAGATACTCAAGTTCAAAGTTGTCTCCTCATTTCTTGTTTTTAAGCTTGTATAGTCACCTACTTTGGGTTCCCATGGTAACGTGGTATGCTTTAACAATGCATCTAGTTGTAGCCCATACTGTCAGTTCTGTAAAATGGAGATCACATTGTGTCCCTACTAGCCAAATAAGGCCTGGCATGCAAGCAACAGGTGTTTAATGCATTGATATCTACCTGACATTTTCATACCAATAAGGTCTGTGTCCTTGGCTCTCTGGAATGCCCGTTGAGTAAATTATGTAGACCTTGAATCATGGTTATTAATCTTGAACTTATTGATTTTGGTTTGTCACCCTGCTATCTCCAGACCTGTGGCAGTTCCGGAATTCAGTGTGGGGTTCCTGAGTCTACTCCTCCATACCTCCCCTTCCTATCCAAGGGCTGCCCCCTGCCTCATAACTGGGTCTTGGGATCCTGACTGCACGTAGGGGAATGCTCTCACCCCGCTGGACTGTCTGTGTTCCCACTCAGGACCCTGACAGAGTCACAGTACTCACTGCTGTCAATCATCCTGGGGATGAGAAGGAAGGGAAAGGACGGTCAGCCTTCTACAGCTGCTGTCAACCTTAGGCCGAGTCTTGACCCTCTGGCTCCCACTGCTGGTCTTGCCTGGCACTGACATCCTAAGTTTTGTCTGGCCAGCCTTGGTTCTTAGGCTAATGAAAGGTACTCCCAGCACGACACACTGCTATTAAGCTTCATCCTTAAGACAGAGGGAGTAAGAGCTCTGTTTATTTTTAAATGCCTAGAAAGTGTTTTTGAAGATCTGCATTTTGTGTCTCAAGTACAAGAAACACTTCAGATATCCGGAAGAAGACAATGAATTGATTTTACATTGTTAAGTGTGCTTTGCTATCCCCCACCACATTTTCTCTGATTATAAAAATTATATAGATCTGTAAAAACTCAGTTATAAGAAAACAATAAAAACAAAAAGCAAGGAGGAGAACAAAAGACAGCTCGATGCTACCATTAAAGCGAGCACAGTACTGGAAGGTGGGCTTTAGGGAAACCCGGGATAGAAACGCAGCTCCGTCACATAAACCTCTATGGTGTGGAATCTTAACTGTAAACAGTTTCTATAAAACTGAGATAAAGACTTAAGTTGTGTGACATCTATACAATAAGTATACAGGTAACATTTACATCCTAGATTATCGAAGAGATTACTTGAGAAGATTTAAGTACAAAGTCTATCATGGCGCCTGCCCATTCAATGAATGCTAAGTCATAGTAAACGCACCTCAGCTCTCCTTTCTCAAAGTATTTTCCTCTTAGATCTCATTGCCTTCATTGTAACTAAGCTTAAATCAAAACACATTTATTATTATCTATTTTTGAGGGTCTATCACATGCCAGTGTTATGACATTATGAAGACAGTAATTTTAAATTTGTATTTATTAATTATTGTGTGCACGTGTGGGGGCTTGCATGTACCACGGTGTGTGGAGATCAGAGGATGTCTCTGTGGAGCCAGTTCCCTCCTCCATCTCCACACGGCTTCCCAGGACTGATCTCAGATCATCAGGCTTGCACTGTACTGGTCCCAAGAACATATTTAAAATTGTTTTTGTTTAAGCAAACCCTGTCTCAAAGTCCATATAGGCACCTCATAGTCACTCTTTTCATTAACAACACAAAGCTGATTTAAACATGATCTCATCTTTTGTATGTATATATGTGAAGGGATGCTAAAATTTAACAAGGCTACTTGAGAATTAGGGTCACGACTAGGGTGCCCACCACACTCTAGGTACTCAATAAACAGTAATTGTTCATACATGAACTAAAGGCTTTCTTCATCTTTCGTTTGTGGGAGGGAAAATCCCAAGGGATACACTTCTCTGGTTTACTTTTGACCCTCATATTTCAGTAAATTTGTGGACAAAGTTCTAATCTCCTTGACATGGTCCTAGGTTTATTAACTGGCATTTGCTAACTATGGTTCTCTATGAAACCCACACAGTCCAGTTGCTGGGTTTCTATGAAGCTAAATGAAATATCATTTTAAAAGCACTCGCTCAAAATATTTGTTATGTAATAACGTAGTTGCCAGCTATTATTAGTGTGACTGAGGCAGGCACAGTTTGAAAACTGCCTCTTTCTTATTCACTATGCTACAGGATTGAACTACGGTGGCTGTAGGCTATTATTAAGGATTTTGTGTGTACTGCTGGCAAAAGCTTTGGTAGAAATTCTCCAATCTAAGGATGTTTCCCTCAGCTTTCCAGGGAATAAAGTTCGTGAGCCCCACTACACAGCTTAATAGGCACAGCAGGATCCGGTTCCTCCCAAGTCATTTTTCTCTATTGGCTTCTTCTCCCAGCGTTTCATAATTAGAACAATCTGAGGCATCCCCCTCTGGAAAAACCTTCACCGCTCGCTCTCTTAGCTGGGAAGGATTTTAACAGTCCTCTATCGGACTCTGCCACCATTGCCCACTGCTGTGTCCCAGTGCTGGAGAAGCACTTAGAACAGAATATCCATTTACATTCCAATCTCTCCACAGCAGTGAAATGCTAATCAGTACAGCAGTCTCCGCAGACGTGGCTTCTTTGCAAGAGTTTAATTCACACCACCACCCCTAGGCATTAGGAATGAAACCCAATCGGGAAAGTGAGCGAGCGACCATTGAGTTCCACTGCTAGACAGAAAGAGGTATTCTTCTCACTTCCCAAGCGGAAAAAACCTTGCTCAAAGCGGTGAAATATATGGTCCTGAGTCAGCATACAAATGACAAAAGAGAGATTGGAAAGCTCCCAGGTGCACTCAGACAACCAAGCTCGCACCCTTCACTTCCGGTCTAGATCCAGTTTCCTCTACTTCAGGCCCGGGCTGCCTCTCAGTGGTTTGTCCCTCGTCCGCTGCCGTAGCGCGTCGCCTCGTTGCCGTAGGAGACGACCCGCGACCTGGGAGTGAACGAATCCGTTTCCCGCCGGCGGGAGCTGTGGCTGTGGCTGAGCAAAAGGCTCGGAGCTGCACCACCATGGCGGAGCAGCTGTATCTGGAAAACATAGACGAGTTTGTCACGGACCAGAACAAGATCGTGAGGAGCTGGGACCCGGGGAGGCAGATACGAGGGGTCCTGGGCCTGCCAGGGCGTGGGGGGTCTCAACCGGGTGCTTGTGGCTTCGTGGGACCGGTCGAGTGGGCACGGGTCACCGCGACGCTGCCGTGGGGGAGACAGTCTCGACGGCAGAGCCTCTCGCGGGCTCCGAAGTCCGCGGGCCCCGGGCGGGCGAGTGGGCGCTGGGCGCGGAGCCCGGGAAGCTGGCAGGGCTCGTGAGGCCTCCTCCCCGATGCCCTGTCGGGTGCTGGATCCCTCCAGCCCCGAGTGTGCGGTGCAGGAAACACGACCTCTTTCTGGGCTACTGACTCCTGGTGGTTTATCCTCCGGAAAGCGTTTTCTCTTCCGGTATATTTAAATACTGAAAGCAACAGGACCCGCCTCTCTGGGCTGGTGTAAAGATCAAGAAAGATTAAGGTCTTTGTGCCCTCGTGAGCCCAGGGGGCACAGTTTGGTACCGATCAATCTGAAACATCTTAATGTTTGTAAAATAAGTATCTTAGTCTTGCTTGTCACATAGATGGTTTTTCTAACCGATATCTATTGTAGTTTACAGGACATAATCATCCTAGAATAAGAATCTTTAGGAGCAGACTCTTGGCGTTTATCTGTACTCTGGAATCGTCTAATAAAGCCTTAAAAGCTGTTCTTTCTTTTTCAGGTCACCTACAAATGGCTAAGCTATACGCTAGGAGTTCATGTTAACCAGGCAAAACAGTAAGTCCAATTTACTGCTAACTTTAATGATGTTGGAGTTTTCTTTCACTTTGTTTTTAATGCTCTTAGAACTCTTAGGTTAGAACCAGCTCCTCCCCCCACCCCAGGGCTAATAGAAAATATAATTTTTCACTTTTGTCTTTGTTCTGTATGTGTGTGTGTGTGTGTGTGTGTGTGAGAGAGAGAGAGAGAGAGAGAGAGAGAGAGAGAGAGAGAGAGAGAGAGAGAGAACGAGAACATGGATGCCCAGTGGCCATGGAGCACATGGGAAGGTCAGGATGATCTTGGGCTCCGTTCCTTCCTTTCCAGCTTCTCGCTCTCTTCTGCATACACCAGACTGGTTGGCCTGCAAACTTCTGAGGCTCCTTCTGTCGGCCTCCCTTTGACCACAGGAGAGCTGCGCTACCTTATCCAGCTTCGCGTGGATTTGGGGATTTGAACTCAGATCCTCAAGCTTGCATGGCAAGCGCTTGGCTCGGCCATTTCCCCAGCTCTGTTTTTCCTCTTTTAGTTCACCGGACTTGTGTACAAATGTGATAATTTTGCTGGATTTCTTTGGCCTCTGGTTAACAGCACTCCGTGTATTGATTTGAATGAGAACGATCCTCCATATGCTCATATATTTGAGTGGCACTGTTTGGAGAGGTTTAGGTACAGCCTTACTGGAGGCAAGCTGTGCATGTTTCTAGTCCTGTCCCACGTCATGTTCACTCTCTGTTTTGTGTTTATGTTTGCGTTGAAGATAGGAGCTCTTGGCTTCCTGTTGAGCCTCCCTTGCTTGTCCTGACAAACTCTTACATCTCTGGAACTGTACCCCTGAAGAAACTCTTGACTTCAGCAGTTGTTCTTCCAATGCATGATCTTTTATCACAGCGACAGTTTTATCAAATGGGGCAACCATTCCTGTTTATAGCTCAGATTCCTGCATCTGCTGCATTAGATGTTCATGTTTTTACATGTGTTCGTTAGGCCTGACTTTGACCCACATTTTCATAATGATTCTGTTACTGTGATAAAACACTGACTAAAACCAACGTGGGGAGGAGAGGGTTTGTCTTACAGGGCAGGGACTGAAACAGAAACATGAAGAGGCTCGGCTCGCCGGCTTGCTCTCTTTGGGCTTGTTCAGCTGCTTATACACCTCAGGACCATCTGCCCACTGTGTGCTGGGCCCTCCTACATCAGTTACCAGTTCAGTAAACACCCCCCAAACATGCCCGCAGGCCATCCAATGGAAGCAGGTTCTCAGTTTGGGTCACATGTTCCTGAGTGTGCTGAGTTGACAACTGAAGCTATAACAGAGGTCAACATGTGTTTGACATTAGCTGTCTGATAGTATAGGGTGAGACGAGAGCCAATGAGATGGTGCACGTGGGCAAAGGTGTTTGCTGTTGAGCGTGATGACCACGTTCAAATCTAGGGAGCAGGCAGCAGAAAGAGAACAGGTGATCTTCTTGTCTCCACTCATGAGCTATTGCTTAATAAATAGTTTAGAAAGATACTAGAATATTTAAGTGCAAGTTAAAGGAGTGCTTAGGATGACCCTTTTTGCCTTCTGCTACATTTTGTTGTTGTTTTTGTTGTTATTAAAACAGATCTGACTTGAGACCAAAAGGAAAAAGGCGACTTTGAAATCAATGTTAGAATGTTTTGTTCTGCAAAGGAACAGAATGCTGTCTAAATCCCAAGAGGAAGGATGGGTTAACCATTTGAGAAATGGAGAATACTGTGGGGAGACCAACCATATTCCATGTCTCAGGAAACCGTAGATGCAGGCTAATGGGTGGCTGGTCATACTAAAATAAAGAAGATAGTTGAAGACAGCATCGGCAGTAAGGAATGGAAGGCACAGGAACTGGGAATCACCTGGGGCAGGTGCAGGAAGAGAGCCGTCACCTGTGAGGTTGAGGTTTTCTGTGACTCTCCCGCCCTCAAGACCACATCTTACCGTGCAGCTCTGGGTGACCTGGAGTTCACTATGTAGACCAGGCTGGCCTTAAACTCAGAGAGCTCCACCTGCCTTCCCGTCCCCCTCCCTGTAGGGTTCAGAGCTCTCAGAACTTCTGAGCCTCTGGCTGTTGTCGACTAAAGTGTGACGTGTTGTAGAAGCTCGCTAAATATTTCTTGAAATAAAGACAAATGATGTGCATCTCCTTATCGTTAGACTAGGTATTGTGGGGAGGATTTTTGGGTGGTTGGAATAAAAGTGAGTAAAGATTTTTCTCTAAGCAACGTTTCTGCATTTAATGTGTGTCTGTGTCATTTTTTTTATTGATATTTATTGAGCTCTACATTTTTCTCTGCTCCCCTCCCTGCATGTCCCCTCCCCCTTCAACCTTCCCTCAAGGTCCCCATGCTCCCAATTTACTCAGGAGATCTTGTCTTTTTCTACTTCCCATGTAGATTAGATCTATGTAAGTCTCTCTTAGTGTCCTCATTGTTGTCTAGGTTCTCTGGGATTGTGATTTGTGGGCTGGTTTTCTTTGCTTTATGTTTAAGAACCATTTATGAGTGATAATTGTCTTTCTATGTCTGGGTTACTTCACTCAAAATGATGTTTTCTAGCTCCATTCATTTTCCTGCAAAATTCAAGATGTCGTTATTTTTTTTTATGCTGTGTGGTACTCCATTGTGTAAATGTACCACATTTTCCTTATCCATTCTTTGGTCGAGGTGTATTTAGGTTGTTTCCAGGTTCTGGCTATGACAAAAAAGCTGCTATGAACATAGTTGAGCACATGTCTTTGTGGCACAATTGGGCATCCTTTAGGTGTATACCCAAAAGTGGTGTTACCGGGTTTTGAGGGAGGTTGTTTCCTAATTTTCTGAGAAATCGCCACACTGACATCCAAAGGGGTTGTACCAGCTTGCATTCCCACCAGCAATGCCGAAGTGTTCCCTTTTCTCCACAACCTCTCCAGCATAAGTTGTCATCAGTGTTTTTGATCTTGGCCTGTAACATGTGGGGCCGGCTTGTTGGGGTTTCTGTCCCGCCCGGCACCCCACAGCCAGCAAGCCCCAAAGAAAATCACACACAGGACTCCATAAGATTATAAAACTGATTGGCCCATTAGCTCAGGCTTCTTGTTAACTCTTGTAGTTTATATTAACCCATTATTCTGATCTATGTTAGCCATATGGCTTGGTACGTTTTTCAGCTGTCAGCTCACATGTCGCTTCTTCAGTGGTCTGGGCAGGAATGGGAGGAATCAACTTCCTCCTCCCCAGAATTCTCCTGCTCTCCTTGCATCATTTCCACTTCTTGTCTGGTTTTCCCGCCTACACCTCCTGCCTGGCCAATCAGCATTTATTTAAAACATGATTGACAGAATACAGACAATTCTCCCACACCATTGGCCATTCTTACAGGTGTAAGATGGAATCTCAGAGTTGTTTTGATGTGCGTTTCTCAGATGACTAAGGATGTTGAACATTTCCTTAAGTGTCTTTCAGCCATTTTTGATTCCTCTGTTGAGAGTTCTCTGTTTAGGTCTGTACTCCATTTTTTTTTATTGGATTATATGATCTTTTGGTGTCCAATTTCTTGATTTCTTTGTATATTTTGGAGATCAGACCTCTGACCAATGTTGAGTTAGTGAAGATCTTTTCCCATTCTGTAGGCTGTCATTTTGTCTTGTTGACTTTGTCCTTTGCTTTACAGAATCTTTTCAGTTTCAGGAGGTCTCATTTATTAATTGTTTTTGTTAGTGTCTCTGCTGCTGGGGTTATATTTAGGAAGTGGTTCCCTGTGCCAATGCATTCAGGTGTTCTATCCACTTTCTCTTCTATAAGGTTCAGGGTAGCTGGCTTTATGTTGAGGTCTTTGATCCATTTGCACTTGAGTTTTGTGCATGGCAATAGATATGGATCTATTTTCATTCTTCTACATGTTGATATCTAGTTATGCCAGCACCGTTTGTTAAATATGCTCTATTTTTTTTTTCATTTGATATTTTTGCTTCTTTGTCAAAAATCAGGTGTTCGAAGGAGTGTGGATTGATTTCCGGGTCTTCTATTTGGTTCCATTGGTTCTCCTGCCTGTTCTTATGCCAATACCAGGCTGTTTTCAGTACTGTAGCTCTATAGTAGAGTTTGAAGTCAGGGATTGTGATGCCTCCAGAAGTTCTTTTATTGCCCAGGATTGTTTTGGCTATCCTGGGTTTTTTGCTTTTCCATATGAAGTTGAGTATTGTTCTTTCGAGGTCTGTGAATAATTTTGTTGGGATTTTGATGAGCAGTGCCTGTGTCATGTTAATGAACATTTTACAGTCACAAAACATCTGATTCTAAGTAATTCAGTAGTGTCAGAGGTGGATTATATATTTGCCCTCATGTATATTATAGCTTGAAATGTTCAACATGGTGATCTCTTAGAATTACTAAGAACCCCAAATCTTCTCTGTCCCCCAAAGCACATATAGACGCGCAGCTTTTTTTAGAGCAGAGTTTGTACACAGTGTGTGGATTCAGATGATAAGAATTACTCGTGTAGCAATGGCATTTCTCTTTTATGCCTCAGGATATGAAGGCTCGAAAACTTGATTGTGGATCTCACAGCTACATAGTGACTCCCTGTGTATCTGCTACTTAATCACTGCCACTGTTTGGCAGTGGGTTCTGTTCCTCTTGGCATATTTCTAGATTTATCTCAGTTACTTCCTGGGTCACTGAGCCAATTCAAACAAGTTGGCTCTAGTTCCATGCTCCATCTAAAGTCCGTCCGTTGTTTTTCACAAATCTGCCAGTTCCGTAAGTAAAAAATTGCTATTTGGAGAACTGTCAGGTTTCATATATGTAACTTTAAGTCATGAGTTAAGAGTTGATGAGGCGAAGATGCATACTAATGAATCATTTCTGTCTTGTTTGGAACAGGATGCTGTATGAATATGTTGAAAGGAAACGGAAGGAAAATTCGGGAGCTCAGCTGCATGTTACCTACTTGGTGTCTGGCAGTCTCATACAGAATGGACATTCTGTAAGTTTTCTTGTAACAAGCCTACATGTATATGAGATAGAAACAGTATTAGAAATAACAGAAGGAAGAAGCAAGATTGAGTGGTGTGGAAGTTACAAGTATTTTGATTTTTCTTTTCTTTTTTTTTTTGTTTTTTGAGACGGGATCTCTCTGTGTAGCTCTGGCTGTCCTGGAACTCACTCTGTAGACCAGACTGGCCTCATACTCAGTGATCCATCTACCCTTGCCTCCCGAGTGCTGGGGTTAAAGGTGTGCTCCACTACTGCCCAGCATATTTTGAAATTGTAAACTTCATCTGACACTCAGGAAAGTTTAGGTGATAGCTTGGCTGTGATGAAGTGACTGTCATTATTGGCTGGTTACCTAGGAAACGAGGTGTTAGAGAGTGGTGTTCTTTGTACCTCTTTTTCCTCTTGAATATGTATAAGGACACTGGTTTTTAATTTTCATCCTTTTTGAATTTCAAGCCACAAACTCAAGTGTTAAAAAAAGGAAAAAAGAAAAACTAGCTGACTTTATTTTTAATTTGAACACTGATTTTGATAGGTCACTCAGAGTGGCCCACTAGTGGGGGATTGGCCTCAAGGGTAGCTGCTGGTGCAGCCCCGAGGCTTGGGCTGGGAGTCTGTGCAGGTATGTGTAGCGTCTTCTGTCATAGTCCACCAACATTTGGGTACTGCTGCTTTTTCATCTCAACCACAAAGCAGTCTCAGGTCTGCTGAACTCTACTGACTTCATATCCTCCTCAGAGGTGAGCACATACTTTTGAAACTCTCAAGTGTTTAAAGCAGTGGTTCCCAACCTTCCTAATGCTATGACCCTTTAATACAGTTCTTCATGTTGTGGTAACCCCCCCCCAACTACTAAATTATTTCATTGCTGCTTTTTAACTGTAATTTTGCTACTGCTATGAATCATAATATAAATGTCTGATATACAGGGTATCTGATATGCGACCCCCAAAGGGGTTGCAATCCACAGGTTGAGAACTGTAGGTTAGTGGGTTCTTATTATGCTAATTAGGCCTTACTGGATTGGTCTGTCCATTCATTACAAGTTCTCATTAGTTTTTTTGTAGTGGTTTTTGGTTGAGAATGACTTTTTAAAATCACCTAATTTATTAATTTACCAGAGGTTACAAAACAGTCAAGTTTTAAGTTGGTGTCTTTCTTTGAAGGACAGGTCTCACTGTGCAGCCTGGCTAGTAGACTAGACTGACCTCCATATTCATAGAGATCCACCTGCTTCTGCCTGGTGCTGGGAAGGTGTAAACCCCATACCTGACCTCTTTGAAGAACATTTGTTGAAGCTAAGTATGGTCGTACATGCTTATAATTCTAGCATTTGTAAGGTTGATGCAGAAGAGTCAAGGTTTTGATGCCAACCCGGATAAGACATCTCTGAAAAACATAAAATAAAATTCTAAAAGGTAGCAAAGATCTGCAGCTTCTGTCTGTCAGGCTTGAGTTTTATGATGCTGGATTTGCTGGGATCTTCACCTCAGCAAGTGCCCACCGCAGTAGTCGACTCTGTTCTGGTCTGCACTGTTTTTGCACCAACAAGGTGCCGTGTCCTCTGTTGGCCTGTGCATTTTCAGTAGCCCCAAGCGTAGGAGCACTTGGCCATACTGAACTGTCTGCCTGTCTAGATTGTTTCCCTAGGCGTGAAATGACTACTGCCCTAAGGCTGAACTACAAACCTTTTGGTGTTTTAGTGGTTGGTTCCTAATGCTTTTTCTCATAAGCCATGTGGAGTGTGCAATATGCAGAATGTGGCATTTTGAGGAACGTCTAGTTTGTATATATTGATCATGCAGGTGTGTACAGGTACATGTGTGTGTGTACATGCATACATATGTGTGTAGGTATGCATGCATGTGTGTGCATGACTGTGAAGGCCAGAGAGCAATCTTGGGTATTTTTCTTCAAGAGCTGTCCACTCTGTTTTTTGAGAGAGGTCTCTCACTGGGACTTGAAAGCTTGCTGATTTGACTAGGCTAGCTGGCTGGCCAGTGGTCTCCAGGATCCTCCTTCTTGGTCTCCCCTGCATTAGAATTATAAATGGTGCTACTATGTCCATCTTTTTACATGGATACTGGGAATTGAACTCATGACAAGCATTTTATCAACTAAGCTATTGCCCTGCTTCATTTTTTAAAAGAGAAAACATAAAAATACATGAATTTTCTTAATTCAGATTTATGACTACGTTTTTGAAAAGCTTGTTTTGAAGTTTTGTGGAGATAGCTCAGTGGTAGAGGGCATGCCGAGAATGTACAAGGTTTGACCCTCAGTATTAAAACAAACACAAATTTACCTTGCTGCCAAACATGGTGACTCACACCTATAACCTGAAACACTTAGGAGCTGAGGCAGCAGGGTTACTAAATGTGAGGCCGGCCTGAGCATGGTGTGAGTTTCTGTTAAAAACCAATCTAGCCAAAAATTCTTGCTTGATCTTCTTATTGTTCTTCTATATTATGAATTTTGGTGGTTCCTAACATTAACATAAATGTATGTTGCTTTAGTCAAATACTAGATTTAGAGGAGATAAATGAATATTTACTAACAATTACTGAAAATTGTTTGAGTTTTTTTCTAGGATATATTCTGCTTAAGTCATCTAATGCCTCATTGTGGCAATTCACCAATTAAAGTTCTATTTAAACTCAGTTTTTTCCTTTTTGTTTTCGGTTTGTTGGTTCCCTCATGTCCCATGTAGGTGGCTTTTAGATTGGGTTCACCTTTTCCTTCTGTTTTTGTTGTAGTTCTTATATATGCTTTTAATAGAAACAATTAGGTTTGTATTACCCTTTTCTTAGATTTACAGCCCATTTTGAACTCAGCTCTTTAAACTGCAGACCCTGATCATTTAGTGGTAGAAATGTTCCTCTTGTGGACACACAAGGGCTGTGTTGTTGTGTTAGTTGTCAGCCCATCCTGACTGCTACAGATGGTGCCAAGTGAGCAGCATCGTGTGTGTGGCTTCTGAGTCTGCCAAGTGTTTTAGGGCCACGTTCCCTGAGGTGGTGTTGCTGGGCAGAGGGCTAACTGGGGCTGAGCAGATAGTGCTGCTCTCCTCCTCACCACCTGTTAGTGAGGCTCCTGAAGTCAGGGGTCAGGGCCATTGCTGCTTTTGGCTATGAACTTTTTGCTCACACTTCCTGTCTCTCTCCTACTTCCTGTTTTTTTAAAAGGTCTTCATTTTCCTCACTTTGTTTTTGTCTTTCTATTTTGAAGCTGTAATATTCTTTGTGATACAAGTTTTAGTTTTTTTCTTCATTGTTTGTACTTTGTTTAAAGTTTCTGCTTTCATTTAAAAAGCCCTTTTCTTTTCAGCCTTCTGTTTTAGGTTAATTGCAGATGCCTTACTTGATAGTTAATATTCTTGATTTCTAAAAACAGCTAGTGTCTGTGACAGGAAAAACAGGGGTACTCTTGAGAATTCAATAAAAAAAATTGTCTATTATTAAAAAGTTGCAATGAGAAAAAAGAAAAAAGGCTTTCTTTTCTTTGAAGGTTATTTCGGTTATTCCTGGATGTTGAGTTAGTCTCTAGAACTTATGCTGACCTATGGAGTGACACAAATCTGTTATCTAGTTCCATAGATTATACAATATTTGTCATTAAACCATTCACCAAAAATTGTTCTTACAGGGATTTGATATGTATTTTTGTTTCATAAAAATATTGAGGCTGGTCTCTCATTTTCCTTTATCTCTTTCTTTTGAGAATCTGTAAAATATGCAACTTAAAAATAAGTTAGACTGATCTATACTGTAGTGTATTTCAGGGTACCCAGTGTTTTTCAAATTTCATAGCTAAGCATAACTGAGTTACTGTCAAGAAAACTGAAATCCCAAGCCCTAACTTCACCACTGATGAAATGTTATTTCTTGCAGTGCCACAAGGTTGCAGTAGTGAGAGAAGATAAATTGGAAGGTAAGAGTTTGAGTAGCTAAGTAGACTTTCTGCTTTTCCGGTTATGGCATTGATTGGGTGCAGTCCGCATAAAGTGTATTTGGCTATTAACCAAAGAGCTGTATGTATATTCATTCCTTTTATTAATGGTTTCTGAAAGTTAAAATCTTATACCTGCCTAACTTCTCGTTTTTAAGGCTAGTCAGCTGACACTTCTAAAGTAATCTATGACAGGATTTCAAGACTCATGAGAGACATACAAAAGTTGCCATGAATTCTAGGTGACAGGGCTCCTTAAACTGTGCGTCGAGACCCCACGTGGGGTTGAATAACCGAGTTTAGAGCTTGTGAAAAGATTGGAGCTCATGACAACAAAACTTAATTCAGAATCCAGTGTGCTGAACCTGAGGGTTTTGTGGCGCTGCTCACTTCTCTGTAGCCTTAGTCCTGAGCACACAGTGAGTGTTGTCTGCATTGTGTGGCATCCTGCCGTGCAACACCAGTGAGCACGGCCTGGACGGCCTTGGCCCAGACTTGAGGCTGTGTCTGTCGTGTGCTGTATTGGATGTTCTCGGCTGTAGTCTTTTCATGTATATGCAAACTTCTGTGCTCTGACAGAAACAATGCTATACTAATGGAAAGCAAATAATTAGTACTTTAGTGTATCGATTAAAATATGTTTGGAGATTGCATTTGTGATAGATTATTTGATTCTAAAAATGGCTATTTCAGTTGCTACTTCTTTTATTTATTTAGTTTTTAATATCATTCAGTGAATTTCAGCTTGGATTAGAACAGGATTTTCAGCAGCTTGAAATGGTCTAAATATACTTCTCTTTTGTACTGTGTATTGTTGCAAAGTTGTGGCATTGTCGGCACTGCTGATTGTAAAAGCAAAATATTGATTGGCTAAAAAAAACTGATGTGTTTGGGCTGGTGAGATGGCTCAGCGGTTAAGAGCATTGCCTGCTCTTCCAAAGGTCTTGAGTTCAATTCCCAGCAGCCACATGGTGGCTCACAACCATCTGTGATGGGGCTTGGTGCCCTCTTCTGGCCTGCAGGCATACACACAGATAGAATATTGTGCACATAATAAATAAATAAATATTTAAAAAAAAAAAACTGATGTGTTTATTCAGCCAAGATTTCAATTTTTTGTATAAAAATAAACACACACTTGTTTATTATTATGTTAAATTTGTTTTTATTTTTAATAAATAATCAAATTATATGTGTCAAAGGGTTGTTTTAAAGTAAGATGCTTTATGACTTTTTATCAGTAAATACTTGAATTATGTACCTTTTTTTAAATATATAATGTTGCATAAAACTTTCTCTGATGAAAAAGAAAATGTTAAGAAACTGTGCCATATGTGATGGTTACTATGTCCCAAGCTCTGCCAGGCACTGGGGACAGGGAATAATTTAGGCACAGTATCTTCCCTTGTAGAACCCACAGTTTGTTTCTGTGATGGTCTTTTGATTTTGCTCTGTAGGCTCAGCTCATTAGTAATGATATTATACAGTTGCTTTCTCTAAACTGAAATTGGAACATATAACTTAAGTCTTCTCAGGTAGAGATTACTTTATTATCTTAACATTGTCACCTCGTTTGCTGAGTGTCCCTGGGTGAGCGGTATCCTTACAGGTGCTGTACTTGGAAACGGCCCAGCACCATCGCACCCCCATTACAGACAGGCTCGACGTTACTCTGTATATGAAGCTGTTGGCCTCTTAGTTTTTGGACCACCATAGTCCCCACAAGCTATGGAGTTGTGTATTAACAGACTGCTTTTCCTGTTGACTTGTAGCGGTGAAGTCCAAGCTAGCTGTGACTGCCAGCATCCATGTGTACAGCATCCAGAAAGCTATGCTGAAGGACAGTGGGCCTCTGTTCAATACTGACTATGACATCCTTAAAAGCAATTTGCAGAACTGCAGCAAGTAAGCTCCTTAATGTTCTTGTGGGCTTCTTTACGGATTGATTTTGTAAGGTGTTTACACAGTGGCTGCCTCTTAAGAGTGAATGCCAAGTCTAGTAAAACCCCATTTATCTTGCAGTAAGACACATGCCTAGTTTTATGAGTACATCATAAGGTGAAAAATAGCAGCCACAGCCCATATTGAAAACCCCAGTGGACTGCCCATAAATCTGTTTCTCATATATTTATCCTGTCATCACCACCAGAAAGTCTGTGTCCCCTCACTACCACTTTGCCCCAGTCTCTGCGAGTCTAAATCTTACCCATCCTTTAGGAGCTAGTTCAAATGTTGCCCTTCAAAAAACTTTCCCTATTCCTTCCAGCCAAAAGTGACTTGGCTCCAAAGCTCCATAGCCAAGATGGATCTTGTAAATCTTTTGTGTTCTTCAGGGCACTGGATAGTGACAGACTATAATGTGTGTGCATTTTAGAAACTGTGATCATAGGTTTTAGTTGTGTTTTGCTGCTTAATAGCTCAGTGACTTTGGACAGATTACCTAATACTCTAGATTTGGCTTCTTTATCTTCAAATCAGTTTCGATAATTCCTACTTTGTGAGATTACACTCGGGGCTCAAGTCAGTTCTCTGAGAATGTACTTGGGTAGCTACCACCTTGATTTAATAACAGTTTAAGTTTGGGGCTGGAGAGGTGGCTCAGTGGTTTATAGTACTTATTACTTCAGCAGTGGCCTAGGTTTGATTCCCAGGACCTATGTGGAGACTTAATAATCACCATTCATGTCCTCAGTTCCAGGGGATCCAACACCCTTTGGTCTCCATGTGTACTAGGTGTGCATATAGTGCACAGACATACATGCCAGCAAAGCACTCTTACATATAAAATCAGCTGTATCTTTAAACAGATAATTTGAATTTGTTTGGCCCGTATCTGATGAAGACCGTTGAGTCACCGTTCTACATGTGTTTGGGAATGTGGCGTGGTGCCTGCTCCTAGGGTCAGAGGCTTACAGGAGGCAGCAGTTGCAGCACAGCGCTATTGTGAGAGGAACGTTGTGAGAAGATTCTGGAGGCTGGCATTTATTGCCAGCTTCTGGATAGGTGTGGTGAGGTGGACAAACAGGTGTCACTCCAAAGGAGACACCGTCTAGGCTCAGACTTAACGGTCCAGGAGAAACTGCCAGATACAGGAGCATAGGAGTAAAGATGGAGCTGAGAGAGACTCGGCATTACAGTCATTATTGTCTGTGGTTACAACATGGGGTGTCAGCTGGGAGATAATTAGAAGACTGGGGTCAGGTTCTCTTTGAGAATTTCCATAGAGCTCAGTTGGGTTTTGGACATGTGGAATTACTGGGAAATCTCAGGTAAGAATAGTCATTGCAATAGGTAAGTCTTGAGGTAAACAGAATGAGGTAATCCTGAATGGATTTGGAACATAAGGAAGCTGCTGGGCCAGGGCAGCAGATACAGCCATGTAGACAGAATGTGTAGAGTGACAGAAGGCCAGAAAATAAAATTCAGGGATACGATTTTTCCCAGCTGTATGACCTTGGACAAATTATTAGTCTCTTCGTGATTCAACTTCCTTATGATAAAGTAGAGCCCACAATAGTACCAACTTCACATGTAATAGGGGATTAAGTGGATTAAGGTCTGCAGAGCACAGTCCGCAGGGGCAAAGGGGCAGAAGTGGTGATGGAGAGTTTTGTGTGGCCTGTGGACACATGGGAGATTGCTCCAGTGAGACAGCTAACTATTTCAGAGTGTGGGGAGATAGAAAGGATGGGGCCAGCGGCTGGGGTGTCACCTATTGTACTAAACAGCGCGCTCCTGTCATAAAGCTCCTAGCACAGTCTTAGTTGTCATCTGTGGACGCAGGGTCCTGTTGTAAAGCTCCTAGCACAATGTCTGATTATCACATGGGCAGCAGGGGGAAAACTTCTGCAGAGAGCTGTGTCAGGGGCCACATGAGATAAGTCAGGCATCCACACCTAGAGCCAGTCTCCAAATAAGGTCAGGTAGAGAGCAGGAAGCCCTTCCCTGGGACGGAGGGCTTCATGTTGCCTGCTTGGAGAGAGCTACCAGGCCATGGTAGACTGCCACCTCTGACCAGCGGGGCCTCCCAACTGAGTTCTTACAGCTGCACTTGGAACATAGTAAGTACTCTTTAATGGTAGCTTTTTATTTTAATGGACAGAAAAAGAAAGGTTTAAGAGGAAGCAGTGAAGTGGAAAATTATGAAAATATTTGGGGTTCCAGAAGCTGAAGGTAGAGTTTCAAAAAAGAGGGACTGATGGGACGATGCCAGTTGCTTTGGAGAAGCAAGTTAGATAGGAATAAAAACTACCCATTGGATCTAGTGATGGCCTTCGAATGCTTCAGTGCAGGGGCCAGACTGATCCAGCTGGGTAAGTAAGACATGAAGAAGAGAGACACCTAACATGGGCAGCTTTTTCCAGAAAATGTGATTGATTTGAGGGAAAGGAGGACAGTAAGTAGCTAAGGAGAAACTGAAACTTTGAAAGATATAGATAGATAGATAGATAGATAGATAGATAGATAGATAGATAGATAGATAGATAGATAGATATAGCTATAGATATGATTTTAGAATTGAGGGGATGTGCTTCAAGTGGTCAAGCTTTCTTATCATTCATAAGGCCCCAAGTTCTGCCCCAGCACTGCAGAATAAGATAAACCCCAACCACAGAAAGAATGAGAGAATTGGTGCTGAGGCAGGGGGATCAGGCCAGCTTACCACTTAGTGAGTACCAGACTAGCCAGGCCATGCAGCAAGGGAAAGACTTAAGATGCATTGTTAGGAGAGAGTGGGAGAGGAGTGGTTGAAGGTAACAGAGGGGCCGGGATAACCAACAGAGACAGATCCTTGGGGAAATTGGTACAGAATTAGCAACTGTATTTTCTTTAAACACCTTCTGATTAGGATTCCTGTCAGTTAACTGCTTTTCCAAAAGTGCCCTGTACACAGTAAATGTTTTTTCAGTAACTAATGTTAACTGTTAATGATGGGCATTAGAGTTGGCTTTTTTCTCTTTATTTCAAAACTTTGAATATGATGAGTATTTGAATATTTATTAAATAAATATACAGTCAGAGAGTAATTTACAAGTCTTAGAGAAAGATTTTAAGAAAAAAATACTTTGCTAATTTTATGTAAAACATTTAATTTTGTTGAAAAAATAATCTGTATTATTTTAAAATCTTGTGGCGCACGCCTTTAATTCTAGCACTTAGGAGAGGTGGAAATCTGTGAGTTCAAGGCCAGCCAGGTCTACAGAACTAGTTCCAGAGCAGCCAGGGTGGTTACACAGAAAAACCCTGTCTCAATGATGATGATGATGATGATGATGATGATGATGATGATGATGATGATGATGATGATAAATCTTGTGGCATGTCAAGCTGTGATTCATCATATCCGACATCAGATAAAATCTGTCCTGTTAATGTCCAGCAAGTAGACAAACAGGTGAAAGTTAACTCGAAAGTTTAGCAGTGGTTCTCAACCTTCCTAACGCTACAACCCTTTAATATAGTTCCTCATCTTGTGATCCCCCAGCCATAAAATGATCTTTGTTGCTACTCTATAACTGTAATTTTGCTACAGTTATAAATCATAATGTAAATAGCTGATATGCAGGATATCTGGTATGAAATCCCCAACCCACAGGTTGAGTCTGAAGCAAAATCTGCCTGTGCACAAAAATACCAGGGCACTGCAGTGAACTCTGCTGGACATGTCCTCTGTAGGATTTCAGACTTGACCAGCGTGGAAATGCATCCTTTGACCCCAGCGCTAGGAGGTGAGGCAAGAAAAGCAGTTGATCCTCCTCTTCAGTTGTGTAGGAGTGTGAGGCTCCTGTACCACGCGAGGCTCCGAGTCATGGTTTCTCTCCCTGTTGTTGACCAAAGCAACGGAAAAGACAAAGAGTTTATTCTGGGTTACACTTTAGTGGCACGGTTCATGGTGAAGAAGTCAAGACTGCAGGAGCTTGAAGCAGCTGGTCACATCACAGTCCCAATCAAAATCAGAGATCGATGAAAGTTTGTTCAGCTCACTTTCTCCTTTTCACCTAGTCCAGGATTCCACTTTAGGGGATGTTGCCTCCCACAGTGGGCAGGTCTTCCTACCTCAGTTATCTAAATCAAGGTACAAGGTATTCCTTCATAGGTTTGCCCAGAGACCGAATTCCCAGGTAATGCTAGATCTTATCAAATTGACAATTGAGATTAACCATCTCATCTTATCTGGAGATGAAATAGGAGGAGGGAGAGCTTATTTCCAATAAAGAAGTTTGTGCTTGTTCCTAAGAATTGTGAGCCTCCTGAGATCTGATGTTGTGTTTTAGGAGATGTTTTGAAAGCAAGGGAGGTGAGATTTCAGGGTTGAGCGGTCTTCTATCTTGGTCTGTTCCTGGCTGCCAGTTGCTGGTCCTGATCCTAAGGTGTAGAATGCAGATCAAATAAAGAGTTGTCTTAAGACCAACTTTAGATGCTGACAATGAAATAAAACATTGCCTTTTCCACTGTACCTGGAAGCGCTGCAGGGCCAGAGAGGAAGACCAGAGGGTAAAAGGAAATGGTTTCCGTCTATTCTCGGTGCTCATCAACCACAGGTGTTCTGAGTGGACTATGACTCGGTGAAGATTTGAGTTGCTCTGGATCCACTTAGTCTAAAGTTATCTCTGAAATGAATACAGGGGCCATTGCATAGGCAGCTATTCTGGTTAGTTTCGAATAGCTTCCGTCTCCACAGTTTCTGTGTCTTCCCATCTCCAAGTCCAAGTTGAGGTGACACACTGAAGAAGAGAGGGAGCCAGAGCCTCCTCCTCAGCCAGGCGTTCTTCTCAGTCCTTTCTGTGTACCAGGTCCTACGCCGAATGCCTGTAACACAAAGAAAGAAGAGGGCCTCCAGGGAACTTTTACCTACCCCCAATAAGCAAAACACTGGAAAGTAAAATGTTTTCTTTATTAGGAAAAGCTGGGGGGACTCTGCTCTGTGTCTGACCCCTGAGAGGGTAAATGGGTTCCCATTCACGTCGTGGACGACGGCAGTGCAGGCCTGTGAAACAGGGACATTGTCAGTGACTGGAGAGGAGGTGAAGATCCCCAGGAGTGTGCCATGCAGACTGTTAACCAAATGTTGTTGCTGCGCCCTCAGCATGTAACCTCCTGGTGTAAGTTGGTATTTTTAGAAATGAGGAACAAATGGGTATAAAAGAGCATGAGTTACGGGAACCAGGGCTCTATCCCTATTCATGTTTTAAAGCATGGCACACTGGCTAGGAGAATTGCCAAAACACTGGTTAATAATGTATCGCTTCTAGTTCTAGTTTGGTAGATGATTACTGCTCTTCGACCTTGATCAGAAAACCATCTTGTTTCCCAAAGATGGCGAGAGTGTTACTGTTTGCTGGACAGTAGAGGTGAAGGAAAACAAATGTAGAAGTCGGTGCATCATGATGCACGCCTTTATCTCAGCTCTCTAGAGCAAAGGCAGGCAGGTCTCTGTGAGTTCAAGGCTAGCCTGGGCTACATAGTGAGTTCTAGGAAGGACAAAAACCCAACAAGAAAGCAAGTGTGTTTAGTCTGATGAAGTAGAAAACAGCTGATTCTGTCCTCGCTTTGTAACTAGGTGAGCGTGAATTTTAGGCAGAGTTGCTTCTTCACGCTGCATGTTTGTTTTAAATTCTCTAGTTTTATATTGGTGTGAAAAGATATATAGAAAGCACAGAGTTTGGAAATGAGATTTGGTAGTGCCATTAATCTTATACACACTTCTGTACTTAGGTTTAGTGCCATACAGTGTGCTGCGGCGGTCCCCAGAGCTCCTGCAGAATCCTCATCTTCCAGAAAGTTTGAGCAGTCAAATCTTCAGGCAGCAAGTGAGACACAAACCAATGAACTGACCACCAATGGCCATGACCCACCTGCCTCCAAACAGGTATCCCAGCAGCCCAAAGGAATCATGGGAATGTTGCTGTCTAAAGCTGCTACTAAAACCCAAGACACCAACAAGGAGACTAAAGCAGAGGCTAAAGAAGTAACACATGTAAGTCAGTCTCTTGACACTGGGCCTTGAAAAGCAGGATGGGTCCAGGAAAGCCTCCGGAATTTCTGTGCTAGTTTATTTATAGAAGGGCCACGGTCAGTGCCTGGCAATCTACTTCAGTTCAGACATTTATGATTATTTGTTTGAGGTTTTGCTCTCAGGTCCAGGCTGGCCTCAAACTTAGGCTCCCCTCTGCCTCTCCAGCCTGGGAAGGGGCATGAGCCACCGTGCCTGGCCTAATGTGATCTGTATTTTCTCCTCTGATAGTTTTTTCTTCCCTCTTAATACTTTCACCGAGATTGGATTCTCCTATAAAATGGTGACACCCAGCTTGTACACTAGATAAGGGACATTTGGGACAGCCATTGAAATAATGTGTGGAAATTGTTCTAAAGCTGCAGGATTGAGGAATTGTAGAGTGTGACGTCTGAGCATCTGGCTGGAGCTTTGCCATTCGTGTTCATTCATGCTTTCCCCCCTTGTCCTCATTCTTCATTTCTTTCTCTTGTTTTCATTGTCCAGTTGTCTGAACTAACCTAAGGGCAGTAAGAAAAAAAGCTCTCTTGGTTTGGTGGTCTGTCCCAGCATTCTGAAGAGGAGGCTATACGGGGACCTCAAAAAGAGAAAGAATAGGGAAGGCAGGAAGCAAGCACATATTGAATCCATCTGTGCTCCGAGTCTGACCTCTGTGTAAAGCCTCGTATCAGTTCTGTTTGAATCTTGCTGTCTTTTATTTTTATTTTGTATGTGTTAAAAGTAGAGCCCAGACGTGTAAAGTGATTTGCCTGCAGCTGCACTGCTGTTAAATGGAGGCCCAGGGTTCAGATCCCCCTGAGAATTAAAAATACTTTACCTTCTCTCTCGTTGTTTACCATGCAGACCACTTCTGATTTAATCCTCTTAAGACAGATGGCTTTAAAATATGCTCAAGAAAAGCTCAGATGTATTCATAAGTAATTTGTGAAAACAGAAAGCAAGCTTTGGGAATCAGCGTCAGATACTGTGATGGTCTGGAATCTTGCTCTGGAACTAGCTCTTGTAGACCAGACTGGCCTCGAACTCACAGAGACCCTGATTCTGCCTCCTGAGTGCTGGGATTAAAGGCGTGTGCCACCACCGCCCGGCTTTGCTCTGGGTTCTTAGTTAACATCTGCACATTTTGCCATGATGTTTAGAGTCTGTACTGTCAAGTTGGAATGCTTTGTTTTCCTGCTACACCTGGCCCTTTCTGGCTTTGATCTTGCAGTATAGCTGAGGATGGCCCTGAACTCCTAATCTTCCAAGTTCTACCTCCCTTGTTCTGGAACTACAGTCTTGTCCCACCATGCCTGACCTTTAGTATGCTATACTGTTAGAGATGGTTGAAGCCATGGTGCTTCAAGAACAGCCTGAATGTTAGGCAAAATTAGAAATTGTGTGTTTGTTTGTTTGTTTTATGCTTTTAGGCATCTTCAGCTGGGGGCAAAGCTCCAGGAAAAGGAAATGTGATGAGCAACTTTTTTGGAAAAGCAGCTATGAGTAAGTATGTTCTTAATTTCTTTGAACTCACAGATGAAAGTTACTGTAGTAACGTGTGCCTGCGGTTGAGGCCAGTGGTCTAGGTTTTGCCCATCAGGCATTCCCATTCCCTAACATATTTATAGTGTGCTGACCAATGTATTGAGGCAAGGAAGGGACCTTTTGGGTATACTTGAGCTCCTAGAGAGTATTTCTGCTTTTACTTCTTGCCTTAGGAAGAAAATAAAATACTTAGTGAAGCTTCTGAAAATGGGTGACAGAGAGAGTTGCACTTAGTATCGCGGACACGGGCGTTGTTCGCTTGGTGTGACCCTAACTACAGTTGTCTCCAGGGACCATAAAAACAAATATTTTGCCTCTCTTAGGTTATTTTTTAAAGTACTCACAGCATTGAATTAAATGTCAGTGTGAAATAGGCAGTAATGGCCAGGCCACTTAAATGCATCTATTTTTTGAGGAAGGAAAGGCCTTTTATTTAAGTAAGAGTTTTTTCTTAATGGAAAGAGCCAATAGTTACATATTTTTATCAAGTACACATCCCTTGGGGCTATGCGGCAAAATACCAAGCAGAATGTAGGAACCACGGGGTACTTACCGCACTCTTTCTTGGAACATCAGGTTTACAGAGACCTGTGACCTTTTGTCACATGTCTATCCAAGGACATTAGTCTGAATTCTGCTTCCCCACGATAGTCAGATTGATACGCCATGGGGGATTGGAGTGGTGGTGTTTTATTTGCTGTGGAGATTCTCAGAAAAGAATGTTTTTGTATTGTGAAAGTAGAAAAATGTGGTACCTGGAAGTTATCCAGAAACCTGCTTTTGGTGGTGCTGGAGCCATGCACAGGAGGCCACCGTTTGTGTGAATACATCACGATGTCATTCGCCTGCATGGCTGGGACTGGTACGCTGTACTCAGTCTGTTACCATTTCTTGACAGTTTGATGCTTTTCTTATTTTTGTGTATTTATAAGATCCAGTGCGGAATTTTAATTAATTAAAACTTTTTTTGGATAACTTGTATTTGTGTATATCTGTGGGGTTAGTTTCCCATGGAATCCAGAAGAAAGTGTTCCAGGCCATTGTTGCCTGGTGTGGAAAGAGCAGATAGAACCACTGAGCCACTCTAGTCCCTGGTAAAGACTCTTTTGTTTACCATTTAAAAATATGTAAAATACACGAATATTTGTTAACAGTAAAAACTGCCAAATTTTGAAATTGTTGATTGTATACCTACTACGTGCTTAGTTCTATTGCACACTAGTGATAGAATGGAAAAAGAAGACAAAAAAACCTTTGTAGATAGATGCAGACAATGAAAGGTTGCTTAGCCTTAAAAAGGATGAAATTCTGTTACTTGCAAAATGTTCACTTTTCTAGTCAATTTGGGATATTTTAGTGGGAAAGTTTAAAATGCACAGATGAGAACAACAGAATTTAGCCAGGCGGTGGGGGTACACACCTTTAATCCCAGCACTTGGGAGGCAGAAGCAGGCAGGACTCTGAGTTTGGGCCAGCCTTGTCTACAGAGAAAGTTCCAGGACAGACTCCAAAGCTACAGAGAAACCTGTCTTGAAAAACCAAAAAAAAAAAAAAAAAAAAAAAAAAGAACAGAATTTAAAATTGAAACCATGGTTACCACTAATGCACCAGTGAAGCCCACTCGTTAGGATTCCCACATAAACACTCAAAAATATGAATAGATTGTATTTTGTGTTTTGATCCATCTACACTCTCATAGAACATACATGCTGTGAAAAACTGTTGTCCTAACCTCTACAATCAGCCAAGACTAAGACATAAGACAGGCGATTTTCCACAGGGTAGCTGGTGCTACAGACCAGGTAACGCAAACGGCTTTCTAAAGAACCTCCACTGTGTATGGCTTTCTAACCGTGTATTATGAGTTTGCCTATAAATAGCTATCAATAGGTACACAAGGCTAGATTGCATTTCTGTATTTCTCAGGTGGCTGATCCATTTCTGTTCTGCATGGCCACTTGTGTGTGTTGTGGTATCTCAGCTTAATGTAGGGACCCAGGTTAGGAGTTGAACTAACTGAGGCCCATATCCAGTGCTTACTTTTTCTCTCAGTGATACCTCGGGTAACACACTTAATGTTTTTACCTGATATTAGTCTTATAAATATTATCCCAGTTCTCTCAGAGAAAAATGACTTTTAGGCTTGCCCAGAGGGAAGCAGGATTTGAATTAAGTTCTATCATTGAAGGTAGTAGTGAGGTAGAACTATCCAGGCATTAAACTACAGGGCTTGGAGAGATGGTTCAGTGGTTAAAAGCATTGGCTGCTCTTCTAAAGACCTAGGTGCAATTCCCAGCACTCATGTGGTGACTCAAAACCATCTTTAACTGCAGTCCTGGGGTACAATACCTCTTCTGGCTCTACACGCACCAGCATGCTTGTGGTGCACAGACATCATGCAAACAAAACAAACAAACAAACAAACAAACACCAATACAAGCAAAATAAATAATTTTCTAAAAGGTTGAATAGAAAGATGTTGCTACGAATTTAGCTGTCAGCCAATTTTTAAGCTGTATTCTTGACTCCCTGCAGCTCTTGTTTTCCTCATTTGAAAATAAGAGGATAACTTCATGAAAGTTGGATTTAGGGGCTGTGACGCCTGAGGACCTGAGTTTGATCCCTGGGATCTGCATAGCAGAAGCAGAGAACATTCTTCTCTTACCTTCACAGTTGTATTATGGCGTGCACACACCCAATAGACACACAATAAACCCAGCATTTGCTATTTTGAAACCTTGTGTTTGCTGTCACGAGGGCAGTGGTGTAATGAGAGGCCAGTGGGAATCAGAAATAAAGATCATAGATGTTTTCTCGCTCAACTACGCTCTTTTTTAGGACAGGGACTGTTGTTTACCCCTCGCTCCTAGCATTACCTGTCACACAGTGGACCTGCACAGGAGTGATGGTTAACAGTGCACGGTGGTTATATGTGGTCTGCTGAACTTTATTTGTAGATAAACTTAAAGTCAGTTTGGATCCAGAGCAAGAAGTGAAAGAAGAAAAAACAGTGGAGCAGCCTCCAGTGTCTGTCACTGAAGCCAAGCTGGCAGCTCCCACAGCTCTGAAGAAATCCAGCAGGAAGGCAGAGCCTGTGAAGATGCAGCAGAAGGAAAAAAAATGGTAGGAAAATTTTGTCACTTGGGAAGGGGAGTGTCTTGTGGAGGTGAGAAGGTCTGTTTGGGATTTCTACGGCAGGCAGTTTTGGCTCAGTACTAAATCCTACTTAATGCTGTGAGAATGAAGAGAGAAGCCCCAGGCTCACCTGGTGAAGTAGGGCTGCAGGGCAGCCCATTTGGGTGGTTTAGATCCAGAGCCACAGTTTGTCCCTATTGATGCAAACTGATCGTCTTTGCCCCCAGACTTCAGATTAAGTGTGTAGACACCATGAAAGTGCCTGTGTGTGTGTTTCACATCAAATTACCCAGTGAGAAGTTACTGTTTCCAGTCCAGTTTAAGAGAAGAAGTTCTTTGTTTTCTTTTTATATCAATGAGTTTATTTTTCAAGTGGTAAAATGTAATTAGAAAAGAAAATAAAAAGCACACAAGCTGTTAAAAATGGATCCAGGAGTTTGAGACACTACCTCATAGCTGGTAGGAATTAGTCTGTTGAAAGAAATTCTAAAGGACACTGTCAGCACTGATAGGCCCACAAAGAACCAACTTTTGTGGTAAAGTTGGAGCAACAAAATGGTGACATTTCAGAGGGGTAAAGCTCTGCCCAGTAGGCTTTGCCTCCCGGGAACACATGATATACGTGGATTAAAATGTCCCCAGCCATGATCCCAGCACTCACTGTGGGAGGCTGTTACCAGACATGTACTCAGCATCCCTCCACTAAATAGCCAGTTAAGTGTAGGTTTTTAGTAGGTGTCTTTTACCAGGTTAAGAAGGTTTTTTTCTATTCCAAGTTTTCTGAGAGGCATTTACTCATTGCTTTTAAATTTTAGCATGCTTTTTCTGCTTTTATTGAGGTGGCTCATACAGTTTTTCTGCTAATATGGTCGGTTATACTGGTTGACATGAAAATGTTAAACCAGCCTTGCATTCTTAGAATTAGCTCCCTGGTCGTATTCATTGTTTTTACACACTGCTAGTAGTTAACGTTGCCCTAGGGGGACTTTGTTTCTATATTTTTGAAGACTACAGCTCAGCTATTTTCTTTCCTGGTAATTGGCTAGTTTTAGTATTCAGCTTGTGTTAACTTCCTAAGTTAAGAGGAGTTTCCCATTTTCCAAAGAAGTTTGTAAATCATATTTTTTCTTTAACATTTATTTAGTGTGTGTTATGTGTTTATGTATATACCATGACACAGAGGACATAACTTGTGGTAGTCAGTTTTCTGTTTCCACAGTGTAGGGACCTGGAATAGAACTTGGTTCATTAGGCTTAGCAGCAACACCTGAATCTGCTGAGCCATCTCTGGCCCTATGTAAATATAAAATCTATTAGTGAGTCTAGGCTTGGATTTTCTTTCTTTTTTTTAAATTTATTTATTTATTTATTACGTATACAATATTCTGTCTACATGTATGCCTGGAGGCCAGCAGAGGGCACCAGACCTCATTACAGATGGTTCTGAGCCACCATGTGGTTGCTGGGAATTGAACTCAGGACCCTTGGAAGAACAGGCAATGCTCTTAACCGCTGAGCCATCTCTCCAGCCCCCTGGGCCTGGATTTTCTTCATAAGAACTGTGTGTGTGTGTGTGTGTGTGTGTACACTTGTGAGAGCTTTATATAGTGTCACTCAAGTTTTCTAGTTCTTTTTGGAGCAGTTTGTGCTTTTAAAGGATTTTATTTCCTCTTAGTGCCTGAGCTTGTTAAAGCGTTCATAATCTAGCCTTGTTCTTAGAGTATTTGTAGACTCTGCAGTTATGACTACAGAGTCCTTTATTCTCTTAATTTCCACTTGGAAATACATGTTTTCCCTCTATTGTAAAAGGCTTATTAATCTTTTCTCCTTAACCTAACAACTTTAGGCTTTGTTAGTTTTCTTTCTTTTCTACTGAGTTGCTTTCTACTCTGATATTTATTCTCTGTGCTTGCTTTGGGTTTCCTTTATTTTCCTAGCTAAAGCAGAAAAAAACAGTTGATGTTCAAAATTAAATAAGACATAGACACTCAATGACAGAAAGATTATGGTTTACATGTATTTGTCTCTAACACACAATAGGCCCTTAAATTATTTATTGATGGATGTCATAATGGAGAAAGCAGACAGAGAAGCTAAATAATGTCAAGAGAAAGTCTAAGTTTTTATGACATCACTAGAATGAATTTACATTCTTATCTATGCCTTTGCTTGCGTTGTTCTTTCAGTTTAGAATATTGTCTTCCCTTCCTACCTGTTGAATATCTACTTAGCTTTTGACAGTTGTGTTCCACAGTGTTATTTATCCATTAAATTTTATCACGTTGTGTAATAGCTAGTGCAGCTGGCCAAGACCTGTTTGTCTTTTGAGGCAGGTTTCACTGTGTGGCCCAGGCTGCCCTCAGTCATAGAATCCTCCCACCTCTCTGCAGAAATTATAGGCATGTGCCACTATGTCTGGTCTGCCATGACTTTTTGAGAACAGCGTTTCTTTCATGATCTTTGCAGTGCAGCTGGTTGTTCAGGTGCTTATTTAATACATGTTAAATGACCAAAAGGCCAGTGCGGGGGGGAAAAGGCATTGACAGGACTCTAAACTGGCCCAGAGAGAACTGGTGAAACCTTTTCTTCTGGCTACCCTATAAAGTGATATAGTTGTGAATAGCTAACAGCATGCTTTCTCCGAAGGTTCAGTCTTTCTGCTGGGCACAGTGGTACATCATTTGGAAGGCAGAGGCAAGAGGATCTCTGAGCTAGAGGCCAGCTTGGTCTACCTAGTGAGTTCCAGGACAGTCGGGACTACATAGAAACACTGTCTCAAATATACAAATAAAAATGAATCAGTCTTTCCTTACCTACTTTGTTGTTTTCTGTCCTCTGGATTTATGGCTGTAAGCTCTAAAAGAAGCTGCATAGGAACATAAGCATACTCAAACATGTGCACACTTTCTGTTCTCTGTAACATGCTTAATTTATTCCCTGATGGCTGCAGGGGGAAGCGAGTAGACTTATCTGATGAGGAAGCCAAGGAAACTGAAAACCTGAAGAAAAAGAGGAGGAGAAGAATCAAGCTTCCTCAGTCTGATAGCAGTGAAGATGAAGGTAGGCATTGCTATTAATTTTTGGTAGGGGATCATTTCTTGGTTCATGCTCAAAGATCTGAAAAATTCACTTACTGTGGACTACAATGAGAGCAATAGTCCTAACAAAGAGAGAATAATTTTCTTTGAAGTCTGCTACAGATTTTTATCAGAATAGTGATCATTTGGTAACTGGAGAGATGGCTTAGAGGTTAAGAGCACTGACTGCTCTTCCAGAGGTCCTGAGTTCAATTCCCAACATCTACATGGTGACTCACAAGTACCTATAATGAGATCTGGTGCCCTCTTCTGGCTGCAAGGACACATGTAGGCAAAACATTGTATACATAATAAATAAATCCAAATAAAAGAAAAGAAAAGAAAGCAGAAATACAGAAGACGAAAGTACGACTTTGACGCACACTATCTGAGCCCTTTCCTTTCTCTCTAAGGCCAGTGTTCCTTTGGCTGCCTTCAAGTACATATTCTAGACATACCAATAAATAAAACTGGTGAAATTGAAAGACCATGTATAGTGTTGCTGTTGACAGGGACTGTGGCACTGTGGATCTTCCAGTCGGGACGTGGACAGTGTTGTGAGATAAGCAAGCGGAATAAGTACAGGAGTCTCAGGAGTCTCTCTACAGGAAAGTTAATGTGCTTAAAAACAAATATCAAGTACTTTTAATATTTTTTTAAAGTATGTGTATGGGTGTTTTGCTTACATGTTGTGTGTACCATATGCATACAGTGTTCAAAAGAGGGCAATAGAGTCCCTGGGACTGGAGTTATACAAGGTGGTGAGCTGCCTGCCACGTATGCTGGGAACTGAAGCTGGATCCTGAAGAGCAGCCAGTACTCAGCATCTGCACTCTCTCTCCAACCCAGTGTCTAAGTCTTCTTTAGATCTTACCCCAAACCGTGGAAAGTATGTAGAAAGAAACTAAAGCAAAAGGTTTTGGGGCTACATTGTGCTATCCAGGAAAGTATGTTGAGAGAATTCGGCTAAACTTGGAACTATCAAAGGCAGTTTTCCAAGAATTAAGGTATAACGTGTCTTCTGCACTGCTTACTCCCTGATGGTAGGCAGGTGCCGTAACTTTGAGTCCTTGTTTGTTCTTCCAGAACTGCGATGTTACTACAAACTGGCTTTTTATGGATTTTTTTTTTTTTTTTTAAGACAAAGTTTCTCTGTGTAGCTTTGGTGGCTGTCCTGCTGTCCTGGAACTAGCTGTTGTAGACCAGACTGGTCTCAGACTCACAGAAATCACCTTCCTCTGCCTCCTGAGTGCTGTGACTAAAGGTGTGTGCCACCACTGCTGGTGCTCCTTGTGGATATTAAGACAGCACACCAGAAATGCCGAGGCAGTGCTTGACACCCAGTAGCTTTTTGCATTGTGTCCCTCCCCCGGTCCCACTGGATATTCAGTGTGTAACAGAGAGTCTTAGATGTACCTCCTTGGTAAATTCCTTCCCTCTTCACCCTGGAAGTGTCATAAGCACCTTTAGTAGTTCTATATATTTAAAACAAAAAACAAAAAAAAACCATGGCAGGCCCAGAAAGAAATAACATTAATATCTGTGGTGCTAGGAAGAAATAGTGTTAAGTATTTTTCAGTCCTTGCAGGTTGTTTGTGGAGGATTTTAAGCTTATGGAACACACGCGTGCACATACACACACGCACACCACCTTTTTTTTTTTTTTTTTTTTTTGGTAAGATAAGCATTACAGAAATATATATTGAGTCCTAGGAAACAGTGATTGCTTTCCAGGAACTGGAATCCCTGGTCTCTGCCAGAGGACTCTTCACAAACAAGTGGTCACATTGCTGGTTCACTGACACGAGTCCTCCCACAGTTCTTACTCCTGTTCGAGTAAAAACTGCTTTCTTGAGGTGATGCTTCATCTCTTGATGTTTCTCATCATTGAGCACACTAATGCACAAAGCATCCGTTATATTTACGTCAGCAAAAATGTCCTGAGTCAGAATGCTTGGATTAATGGTAAAGACTGCGTATGGGCAAGTTGTTTAAAATTTGTTTGAATTTCAGTTGTATGAGACAAATAATGATTTGTGGGGTTATTATGAAAGCGAGTGATTGATGTTTATAAAGTAGAAAATGTTGGTTGCTTATCCTTCTTAAAATGTCTAAGTTTAAACACAGACAGTTTTTAAAGTCCGATAAAACAAAGCTATGATGATAATCCCTGCCATCTGAATCACTGAACTGGCTCTCATTGTCAGCTCCTCCCAGCTGCCTTCCATCTCTCAGGCCGTGTTGAAATCTCTTTATTCCTCTGCTCTCTTCTCTGCCAGGGGGATTATGACATTTTATTACTGTATGATTCTCAGGGAGGTGGGCAACTGGAAAGTAGGAAGTGGGAACTGTCTGTGGCCTTCCCTTGACCTGGATGTTCCTCACCCCAGATTTTATCCAGGAAGTACTTATTCTCCTTGATTTAAGACATCAGAGTTACTGTTGCTCTGTGTCCAGCGCCAGGACAACTGTAGTGCCCCTGCTCAGTGGACTGAGTCTGAGGGCAGACAGTGCTGGGAGGGGTCCGAGAGGTCTCACTACAGCCCAGCATTGTAGTGAGTTCCTGGTTCTGTGGTGTGACTGCTCTTCTTAGAATCCCGTCGTTAGCTGGCTTCCCGGAGCTGAGTTCATAGCTAGACTGAAGCTGCTCTGCTTTCCTTTGTTTCTGTCTCTTGTTCACTGAGCTTATAAAGTTGGGCCCATTTCATACTTGGAGTGTCTAATTTATTGCTTTATCCTGGCTCTTACTCTGCTTCACCTCTTTAGGTCATTTGGCCATGAACCCTCCACTGTCATAATTTTTAAGACTGACCTAATCAGTTGGGAGAAATCAGATCCAAGATTTGTGCAAAGAATATGAATGTAGCCAGGCGGTTCAGGGAGCAGGTGAGGCTAAGCAGCTACCCAGGCCCATGGCCAGGAGTTTCTTGGTGGTGATTAAAGAGCAGGTCCAGAGTTGGGAGATTAGCTCAGTGTGCTCACCTGGTAAATACAAGGCCTTGGGTTCAGACTTCAGCTTGGGGGAAGATAAAATTTAAAAAAAGATGACCAAACAAATAAAGCAGTAGTCTGCTGAGGTCCCTCCCTTCCTTTCTGGTGGCCTTCTCTTCTCTCAGACCTGATTCTTCACTGAGAAACTGGGATCCCTGCATGGTACTCCCTTGTCAGATACCATTTCTACAACATTCTTTCTCTCCTGACTTTTTTTCTGCCCGTTCTCTGTGGCAAAGCGAGGCTTATAAGGCTTATCAGTGGGGAAGTCACTAGAAATAGTCTCTTACAGTCAGGGTTGGCTGTTAGATCTTCATGGAGATGAGCTTTCAAAGGTGATTCTTCCCAAAACTGTGCACTTTCTGCCAGCTGGACGGTCTGGGTCCAGCAGTCCTGTCAGTCATCCCCGGACAGTAGCGACAAAGACGTTGTGGAGGGAGCACTGAGGAGAACAGCCTTCTACTGACTTGGTCATACTGGGAAGAAAACGGATGGGTTGGGTTACAAAGGCTATGGAATCACACTGGCTTGGGTTTAAAACCTGATTTTATGAGTCATGAGCCTTTGCCAAGTGGAATCTCGGAACCTGTTTACCCAACTGTGTTATGGGAGTAAGATCTGTCTCTTGGGTGGTGAGAATAAAGTGAGACTCCTGATATGTGGTAAGTGGTCAGTATATGTCAGCCAACTTTTCATGTTCTGGTCTTGTGTATGACAGAACACTTGCCTAAGAGGATCTCTAAGATATTGCCAACTTCAGAAATTCTTGATTCTCTGGTTGTAATTGTGTCAAACAATTAATGTGTATTTTAAGTCTCTGCAGTTCTTGTTCGTCATGAATTACTGCTTGCAAAATACCCTTTGGTAAGCAGAAGTTTCAAGGCAGATGCAGTGGAGAAGGCCTTGTGCCAGTTAGAGCTTTTAGTTCTCTTCATTAAGCTTGTTCCATTTTCCAGCCTTCCCAGGCTCTCCTGAAATGTATGAAGCAGATTCACCATCTCCACCTCCTCCTGCATCTCCACCTGCTGAGTCTGTGCCAAAACCCGAGTCCCCCCCAGTCAAGGTAAACCCAGCTCAGTTCTCCCTTCTGTGGGTCTTCTCTCAGGACCCTCCAGATACTGTGTTGAATCTTGTGTGCCCTTCTCTGTCTTTTCCAGTGGCCGATAGCTGACTCGTGTCTCATCTTGCTTCCCTTCAGGTTGACCAGATGGACACATTTTTCTTCTTACCTGAGGGCAGATATTGCTGTAGGGTATAGTCTTAGGAAGGTTGGGGGGGGAGTAGCTCTGGGCAGCTGTTTGTTTTTTGTGATCATCACCATCAGGACTGCTTGCTACCCAGCTCCAGTTGGAATTGTGCAAAAGGAGGCCCAGCCTCCACCAGGGAAAATTATGAAAGATAAAAGGAAACACAAAACTCAAATTTTTTCTTAGGGAAAGGACTAGATGAGAAAAACCACAACAAACAGTGACATGCAGTTTTGAATGCTCTTTACCTGTGGATTATCTATTTCTATTAGTAGACGATGGTGGGTGGTGAAATGTTGAGAAGATGAATGCTGATAAGCCTCTTTTGTAACCACTAGTTTTCTTTAATTCATTCTGCTAAGACTTAATGTAAATCTCATACTGTTATATCATAGCCGGGATGGTAGTAATTGTGCTTCTGGCTACACTAGTAGGGTATGATGTTCAAACACCAAGGCTGAACATGGAAAGCCCTTACACAGCGTATTGCGGTAGTACGCTTTCCTTGTCCCTCTCTTCCACTAAGGTCCTTAATCTGTGTGTCTTTTTCACCAAGAACTCGAATCTTTCCTAAGCATACTGCTTCTCTTTCTGTAAACGCGACGATGCCAGGCCTGTGCATACAGTAAGCATTATGTGCCTGTGAAGTGTAGAGTTCCTCGTTCTACGTTTGATCATAATGGCATTTTAGGGGGTGGTTTTTGTAGATTTAAAGTCTTCTGTTATTTTTCTCTATAGCTTCACCAGTCGACTTAATACTGTTACTGTCTGATCTTTTAGAGTTCAAGTGGAGAAAACAAAAGGAAACGAAAGCGTGTACTGAAATCTAAAACCTTTGTGGATGAAGAGGGCTGCATAGGTAAGGCAAATGTTTGGCTGGCGTCAGGCTTGGGTTCTTATTTTAGTGAGGCACTATAATTCCCTGCAGAGTGGCTGTCTGCAGTGTGAGCTTACATGGGCTTAGCCCCTGCAATGCTGCCTGCTGCTCCTGCTCTGAGGCCTTCACTGAGGAGCAGAGTACACAGAATGCTGCAGTGAAATCGGCACCTGCACCATGAAATGAAGCTCTGAGAGTGGTCTCTGAGTCCATGTCGACTTGGTTGGGGATTTTCTTGATCTGTGAAATGGAAGAGAAATATCTATTTTGCCTCCTGATAGGGTCTTTGTGAAGACTCAGGTAAGGTAGTTGGAAACCCCTGTCTTAGACACTGAGAAACACTTGTTTTTGAAGACTGATTTTGTTAGCAACTCAGTAGTGGACAGGAGGCTGCCCACAGGTAATTGGACCTGGGAGTATCAAGTCTCTGGTGTCCTGTGCCATTCATCCGTAGAAGAGTATGACTTGACGGGGTCCCTGCTTCTTGTGTATCCTCTTTGCGTCAGGTCAGGCTCTTTCCATAGATGAGTGGTCTGAGGTGGGGCTTTTGGAATTCAGCACTTGAACTCTGTTGAGATGCTCAGATTCCAACACCATGCTCTCCTGCCTAGAGGCAGTTGTGGATTGTAAAGTTCTGGTTGGTTGGAGCATGAATAATTTCTTCTCCTTTCTTATGGCTGTCCTGTAACTCATTTTGTAGACCAGGCTTGCCTCAAATTCAGAGATCTAACTGTCTTTGCCTTCTGAGGCCTACGACTAAAGGCTTGTCAATGCCCTTGGCCCTCTAAGTCTGCAGGAATCATCAAAGAGGGTTATGGGTTCTTGAAAGTAAAGAACAATCCTAAGAATTCCCCGGGGGAGATATTAGGTAGTTAGCCCAGTTGGGTTAACTGGATATGGGTGAAGGGTGTGCTAAAGAGGCAGTAGCCAGTTGACCTCCAGCAGAGTACACCATGAGAAAAAACAACACTGAGAAGTGTTTGCCAAAGACTGCCAGGTACATCCATGTGTGCTGATGGTCAGCGCGCTCCCCATTTTAATGGAGAGGGGGACAGTGATTCATCCGGTGTCACCCAGACCATCTGTGCTTGTGTCATGTGGGATGTGTTTAAAAACAAGCTCTACTCTTCCAGCACAGTATATGACCTGCTGCTGAGCGTGGAACTTTGGAACTAGAGTCCAGCAGTGTTCCCATGAGCTCCCCAGGTGAACATCGGGACAGCCCAGGCTTTAGAACACAGATAGTTGAATCCCAGTGCCTGTATCTCTGAGACAATTTATCTAGCATATTTTACTTTGAAACAACTATCAATGAATAAGAGTGTGACACCACTTCTGTTCTCTGACTTAATGCTTTGAGCATTTTATGCATGTGAGGTTACATTTTCAGGGAAGTGGTGTTCCTTTCACTGCTTCTCCATCACTGCTGCATCCAGCAAGGCTGAGAAAGTATTGAGGTGCCTCTGCTTTAGTCCTCCTCACAGGAAGGTGACGCTCTATGTGACCTGGGGCTGGTGCATGTGATGTAGTGGGGCTGGAGAACCTCTCCATCTGCTCTGTGAAAACGTGGCTGGAAACCGCTGCTTCTGCCTCTGCACACTGGGCTGTTTGTGACCACTCACTGGTGTAGTTCTTTCCTTTGGGAAGAGTTCGGGGAGTTGTAGTTTTTTATGTATACTGCATGCATGCATGTGCATATCTTGTATGCCTGATGCCTGAGGAGATCAGAAGAGGGCGGTTGATCCCTTGTTGGCATTATAGACAGCTGTGAGCTGCCGTGTGGCTTCTGATAACTGAATCTGGGTCCTCTGCAAGAGCAGCAAGTGCTTCTAGCCACTGAGCTATCTCTCCAGCCCATTTTAATTGCAGAGAAAAAGGCTAAGCATGCCTTTGGCTGCTAGGGAGTAAGAAAACTGGTAACTTTGCTTATTTTATCATTGTCTTAAAGCTTTCAAATATACCATCTAGAATTGTTTGTTTGGGGAAGTTTTTTTCATAATGTAGGCTGAAGTAAATCTTGGTTTCATTAGCAGTCATTCAGTTACAAGAACTGAGAAGCTGAGTAGCAAACTGTGGCTTCAGATGGGGCAGTGGTTGACACAGGATGGAGTGAGCTAGAAGCACCCATGGTGGAAGAGTGGCTGGGCAGAGTGAGAGCTCTGACAGGCTAAATGAAGAACTGGGAGAGTGAGCTCTGAAACTGGGCATGGAGTTAAGAAGAGATGTTTGAGATACAGACAACTCATATGTAGAGCTCAGAAAGTTAGCCAGTGTAGACAAGAACACAAGGAACAGGTTTGGCCAATCTAATGACATGGCTTAGCTGTGAAGGAGTAGGGGATTCTCGTCCCCACCTAGAGGCCATGTGACCTTAGGGTATGCTAAATGTGTTCTCCCAGTAAGAAAAAGCTCAGGACCTGATGCACAGGGCAACCTCCCCTTTGGTAACTCAAAGCCACCGTGTCCCCGTTTTTTCATTATTCCAGTGACTGAAAAAGTCTACGAGAGTGAATCGTGCACGGACAGCGAAGAGGAGGGTAAGATGAAGGTGGCGTCGGCACACAGACCCCCTGCCACCGCTGTGAAAAAGGAGTCCAAAGAGGAGCCGCGAAAGGGCCACAAGAAAGGGACCACTGCTCTGGGCAAAGCCAACAGACAAGTGTCCATTACTGGCTTCTTCCAGAAGAAGTAAATGCTGTTCCTGGCAGGACTTGGTGGTCAAGGGAGAAGACCACCAAGTATAGACTGTCACTTACTGTGTAAGTTCACCTCGCTCCTTGCCTCATCTGTATCAAAGTGCTGCACTGCCATCACGTGACACTTGGACTATTTCTGGGTTGTTTTTTTTTCTAACCAAAAGGAAGTCACCTAGAAGCAGGAGGCAAAAGATATTTTAAAAGCTGTTACATTATAATGAGTTTATAAAGCACAATTTCTGACCTGCCTAGAAGAATTCATTTGAGAATTACCTGGTGGGCCCCACTCACGCCATGTTCTTCTTCTGGTTCTCTGTCTTCTGTGAACTTGTGTGGCAGTGTTTTTATTTTATGAATTCCACTGGATGCCTTCACCACTTCTCACTTTCCTGTCTATGTCGACCACGTCTGTTCCCTGACCCCGCAGATCTGTTTTCTGTAAAACTTTTAAATCTTGGTCAGACAAAAACCTAAAACTAAAATCTTCTGTAATCCCCTGTTTCTCTCATATATACAGTGACACTCAGCTCCAGGCAGACCACAGAAGCTCTTCAGAACGTTGCTCACACTCAGTGGTTAGGACAGAGCACAAATACTGAACCTCACCAGAAATGACCAAGAGTCAGCATGGCAGCCACTGGCAGAGCTGCCGTGTTAACATAGGGTACACAGTCTACTCTTATGTTCACAGTGTCTTTCTCCCAAATACATTTCCAGTCTCAGTACCTAGAGAGTGGAACCAGTGAGACAGACAATAAAAAGAGAAGTGACAGCCGCCCATCCCAGGAAGGAGTGGAGAATGTAAGGCACACATTTCTACACAGATGTTGCTCCCCTGTGTTTTCAGGTCCTCCATTTCCCCAGCAGTACAGGCTCCCCAGGAAGAGATGGGGGGCTGACTGGCTATAGGTCTAGACAGCGATGAAAACGTTGGCTTTTATGTCTTTATCTGATAATGGCTTTCAAGCACCTTCCCTTATGGCTTTGCACGGAGTTGGGGGAAGGGAGCACAGACGTGACTGCCCATGTGATTCACCGATGAGGGGTGTCTGACCCAACCCTTCCACCGAGGCCTGGCTTGTGTCACAGAGATGTAAGCAGCTGCCTACTATTGGAAGTTAGGGTTGGGGCTGACCTTGGCATTAACACAGCTGCTTTAGCAACCAAGCCTGGGCTTGATTAGGACCAGCAGCTTGGGAGATGAGTCCTGGCCTTACGGCGAAGGCTGGAGGGCCGAGGCTTTGCATGTCAGCCTGAGTAAAGGCTGGCACACCCCAGACCTTTTTTAAGTAGAAAAGAGTGGGATGCCTGGACTGAAGCTTGACAAGAAGCTTCTGGAGAAGAGTCCCTTGTTTAAGTGGTTATTTCTGTCATCGCCTCTGGCCATTTTTCCAAATGGGAATGGAAAAGTACAAGGCAACACTCCAGTATTCTTTAAATCTGATTATGGAGGGATTTCTAATAAAACCGAGTTTGAATTGGAGCTCTGGGGCAATCTGGGGTTGCACCTCTCAAGGGAGAATGCGAGTCTCTGGTCCCTGCACCCAGCACCCCTCCTGAGTTTGGAGCTGCCTGCAGAAGCTAAGCAAGCATCGAGTGGTGATGTTTTCTCTCCGTTTTATACAGCACTCAACCAGGTTACCCACGAGTTCAATAAATTTGAGAAGCCATTTTGAAACTACTTCAAACTGAATGTCTGATGCGTCCGTTGCTTGACAGCCTGGTGGCAGGGTGTGTAGTTACCTAAACGCTGACTGGGAACAGACTGGTTTTCAGTTCATGTTGCTAAAAGTGCAGACCTACAGTCTGAAGTGGACAGGTTTTTTGCTGTCTTCATCAACTTTTCAGTCCTCTGGGAAACCTTAGTTTTATCCGGCCTTATTTTTCAGTTCATTAAGAAGGAAATCTAGTCCTGATCTTGCATTCTGTTCCTTAACAAAGTTGAACTGAAATGAGCCACTCTGTGTGCTGAGCTGAACTGATAACTGTAGCCTGAATGTGGTCCACGGTGGCGGGCAGGCAGTGGATGCTGCTTCTCTTCCCATGGCGGATGCAGGCAGCTACCAGGTTCTCAAACCCAGCACACAACCCAATTAGCATTCTCTCAGAGGCCTGGCAGTACATCTGATCAAAAGGGGAAGGTAACTATCCGGTTTTATGACAGGTTTTAAAGAGTAGAATTTTCTTTTTTCTTTTTTTTTTTTTTAAAGAAAGGTTTATAGATGGCAGTATTTCCTATTCATTAAAACATTTATTGTGCTAACACCTATCGGGCCTCTCACCAGAACACAGGAGGATACAATAGAAAGTGTAGAATTTGTTTCTTGTCTTCAGCGTACGGTGGAGATGAAAAGATAAAATGGAATTGCAGGGCTGTGGATGCACTGATAGGTAAATCAGGGTCTCCCAGAGCTCTCAGGAAGGCGGGTCTCCAAGTTAGCGTCTGGGAGGGAGAGAACCACACAATTTTGAAGAACACGTACGAGCTTACCAAGAAAGAATGGGAAGGGTCTCCCAGGCAAAAGAGCATGGCTTTGGGGGTAAAGGAGTAGATTGTAGAATTGTATCTTTTCTTGTATTAGTGTTTTGCCTGCATGTATATATGTGTAAGCATCGTGTATGTTCCTGGTGCCCCTGGAGTCCTGTGGGTCCTGGAGGTGGAACCTGAGTCCTCTGCAAGAATAGCAAGTGCTCTTAACTACTGAACCATGTCTTCAGCCCCAGACTAAGACTGAGATGTGAAGTTGGGGTGCCTCTAAGTAGTTTGGATTTACTCATAGGTGATGGAGACTAGCGGAACGCTGCTGGCAGGGTTTTGTAAGATTGCATTAAAAGCCAGTTCAGCCCTCTGTGATGAGTGACAGTTTGCACATCCCGTGCTTCTATGAGTGCACCTATCTGTGAGTGCACATTGTATCTGCGGTCTGATAGTGGGGAAGTGCCAGTGGGTTTGAGAAGTTGTCCTGGTGTGAACAGCTTGCATTGTTCTGCAGACTCTCCTCTTCAGCTTGGGTTCCTGTAGCAGGATTGGTTTCTAAGAAACCTCAATGATAGAGGCCTTGGCTGCTTAAAACACAGGGAGTGGGATGGGGGCGGGATAGGTTCTCTGTCCCAGCTTTGTTCCTTGAAGAAGACAGTACTTGGTATACAGGGAGCTGAAGAGGATCCTTATAAGGAAACAAATCGTTTCTTGAGGACAGGGTAGAGCAAGCGCCTAATAACAGATCTGCCAGAAATGCACTCAGTGTCAGACTCGTTTTGGTAAACGTGTCTCTTCTTTCCTTGGTTCCGGGATCTCAGTATGCTGTATAATGCAGCTTTTACCACCATGAAACCTTCAGGGGCTGCCTCGTTTTGTTATGAGAAGGCAGCCTTGCTCTCTGAGTTATTACCCTGGCGGCTCTGCAAATTAGCCCATGCTGTCACCATGCCCTCTCTGAAGGGCACATTGTACCCAAATAACTGCGTTTAGGATCGGCTCTTGCCACTCCCTTCTGCATGACACTTCTCCCCTCTTGTGTCTCTGTCCAGTTTTTGTGTGTGTGTTCTTAAGTGTGGGCCACCCACAGATGACCACCCAGACTCCTTAGCAAGAAGCTTGGTAAGGCTTCTGGTCTAATTTTCCATTGGATCAGAACCCACCATAACTCCAGAATTGCCCTTCCATTTCAAGCTTAAGTTGCCACACTCCCTCCTCTACTTTTCTCTCGATCTTGCCAGGCTTCTCATTCCTTGAGGCCTCCCCTTGGCTCTTGCCGCCTTCTTTTTTAAGGCTCAGAGTTCTCGGTGGCTAGCCCTCCTCCAGCTTTTCCTTTGGTCTTTCTTTGGCTTTCTTCCTCCATGTGGCACGTCTTTTCCTGGACTGCACTTGAAGGATGGAAAAACCTCTTCACCTAGTGTCTGCTTTGGATCCTTCAAATGCAAAGCTCCGAGCATTTGAATGATAGTCACCTTGGTCCTGGACAAGAGACTCCTGCATCTGTGAGAGCCTGGAAGACCAGCCGTATACACATTAACTACGTCCATAACAGTGACAGAGCTCAGATGAGCAGAACCTGAATGACCACAATGGGCAAAGTTTTCTAGTCCCCTGCAAAGAGCGTCTTTGACTTAAGAAACTTCTGGGGAAGGGTTACCAGCTGAATGGGTTCTCTCAATTGCCGGAACTTCATTCGCCTATATATGATACAGTCCGTGTAAGGGAAACATGAGTAGGGGGTGTTTAACATAATTCTTGTCCACTCTGAGATTGGAGAGTTATGGACAAGTTTTGAGCAGATAATTGGGATTATTTTGGGGCAATTTGCACAGTAGTTCTTTGTAGGTTGATTATGTAGGGCCCCAACAGTTTTGGCATACTGCATAGCAGGGCTCTCCGACGGAGAGACAGGCTTGAAGCAAAAGGGCCTCTATTCGGCATTGACCGTAGGCCAGGTTCTGTCCTGAGGTCGACTTCTTTCTTTAAAATGTACAGCCTCCTGCCTTGCTGCAAGCCATTAGTGAGCTAATGTGTGAGTAGGACCTTATATTTTGACAGGTGAAATTAGGAGAAAAGTCATGTTTGAGCACCTACTGTGTACCAAACACTGTTGCATACATTGTATATATTAATTAACTCTTGCTCTTAACAACCTAGAGATGACTACTTCCAAAAAAATTATTTATTTTTTAAGATTTTGAGCCACTGTCTCCTATATCTCAGACTGGTCTGAAATTCACTGTGTAGCCAACATTGACATGAAGCTGATCATTTCCACCTCCTGAGTGATGGGCTGTGGGCATAACCATCACACCCAGTCTTTGTGGTACTGGGATGGAGCCTAGGGCTATGTGCATACCGGGCAAGCACTCTGCTGACTGAACTGTGTCTCTAGTCCACAGGCACTTTTATTCCCAATTTTCATGAGGAAGCTGAAGCAGTTTGCTCCAGATCCCAGAAGTGAGAAATAGCAGAGACAGGTTAAATACATCATGACTCCATTGCCCAGTCTTAACCTCATGCAGAATCCCATGTTGGCTGTATGCTAGTTTATCAACCCACACTGTCCAATGAAGGCTGATGCTCATTTGTGTGTGTATGTATGGGTGTTTTGTTGCGTGTATATCTGTGCATGGTGTCTATAGAGATCCTAAGAGGGTGTCAGATCCCCCTGGAACTGGGGTTACATGTGGTTACACTCTGTGGATGCTGGGAATTGAATCCAGGTCCTCAGAAAGAGCAGCCGATATCCTTAATCACTAAGCCGTCTTG